TATTTATTTATTTATGTCATTACCAAAGTATGTCAGTGTTTACTTTTCATTACAGAAATGTGCATGATTGCTTTCTTCATCCCCACTGCAGCTAATTTATGAACTTATGAGTGTGTACGGTAGGAGACCAGGAACCCAATTCATTTACTTTGTGTAAGGAAAGAATATATTTAATGACAGGTATTTGAACCATTCCTAGACTTTACTAATTTACTTGCAGGGTGGAGGCCTGATAGAATTCTGACTCTGGACAAAATGCCCTTTTGTTTGTAAACTAAACTGCTTATGCTGTTTTCTCCTAGTGTTGATGCCTTTCTATTCAAAGAATTACATTGAAGAAGAATAATCTCCTGTCCTGTACACTGTTAGTAAAAGTTCGGTAAAATGGAATTTGGATCTTTTTAATGGAAAGAAAGGTGAAACACTCTTACGTATTATTGTATGAGTAGTTTTCCTTTTTTTTTTTTTTTTTTTTTTTTACAGAAATCTGTTACTGGATATAACTGTTGATAGGCTGATAGAACAGGAGATTTTTACCATTGCGCGTTGCTACCGTGTACCCGAAGAGGTGTGTACCGACGTGAACGTCTTAGTTACGCGGGCCCAGGAAAAGCTCAGGAGAGACATATTTGAGCATTTCGACAAAGCCATTTCTACCTGTGTGTATGAAGATCGAGAAAAGTAAGCCTTGTTTTATTGATTCTCATAAAGTATTTAGGTACTTTAAACACTGAGTAATAAAGGCATTTATATTTTATCCAACTGGGCAAAAAGAAAATTGAGATGTCTCTTTATACTCCACTACTTAGCAAGGCCACCTGAAATTGTTAGGGGATAGGGCCAAATAAAGATAGCCCAAATCAGCAATCAAGATGTCACATGGCTTAGTTCTGACGTGTCATCTTACATTCCTTTATTGGGATTTATAAACAGGCCTTTGGTAATACAGAGAACAGGGAATTTACATGTAAACTTTCTATTGAATTTCTTTGAAATTATTTCCTAAAAAATAATGGAACTCAGTATAATCTATTTCTAATATATTGCTATGTTTGTTGAGTTCATTAAGTCATTGTTATATACACTGGAGTATAGCCATCTTCATACGTTTTGGGATTTATCTAACCCATAGACCTGATACAGTGCAGGAGGTATAAATTGATTTTATTTGAAGTTGAAAAATCCTTACTGTTGCATATCATTACCATCTCTCCTGTCATCTTTTTGTTCACCTTCAGATTTGAAGTTGGGACCTATGTGGTCCGCTTGCTACCCTAAGTATTTTTGAAGGTCCCATAACTTATCTTAAAAATGGACATTGTTTTCTTAATCTATAACATATCCTCACTGAATTATTATATAGATGTTCTTTTTCCTTAAATCTTTAAGCCTCCTCAAGCCTCCTAGAGGAGGTATGGAGTAATCTTTGCCTCACAGTGTATCCCATGGCGGTGTCTGTCCTCCCTAATGCAAGTGTGCTCTTCTTTGGCTAAAGGAATACTTCTGGGTAGCAAGGGGCTGCATGACCTGGCTTTCTTCTGGATCTGACAAGTTTCGGTTCTACACAAACATTCTCATTGCATAGAAAAGAGCCCATTTCAGAATCACCAGATTCTGTTTCTGTATGGTACATGAAGGAACACTGGCTAAAGGAGAACTCAACAAGCATTTCTGGTGGAAAGGACTGTTGGGCCTCCTCTAGTGACAGCTACTCACATTTGACAAAATGGAAGTAAATGTTAAGCACCCCAACCCCAGCTGGACTCCAAATTATAAAGTTTGGGACCCACTACAAGACCAGAAAAATTCCTTAAAGGCATATCATACTTGTGTTGGAGGCTCTACGTACTTCTCAAATTAATACTTGTTTTCAAATATCAAAACCATTTTGGGGCTGGCCAGATAGCTCAGCAGACTAAAGTGCTGCTTAGGTTTGATCCCTAGCAAGCCATGCCAGCCCTGCCCCTAGGGCATGCTGAGATAGCAATTGAGATTGGGCATGGTGGCACATGCTTGTAATCCCAGTGTTGGGGAGGCTGAAAACAGGAGAATCACTATGAGTCTGATCTACATAGTGAGACCCTACAGGGTCCTGTAGACCCTGTACCAAATACATTAAAATTTTTTTTTTCTTTTTTTTTGACTAGTGGTCAAGAATGTAGATTGAATACTTAGAGCAACACTCATGGCTGTCATCCTTAATAGGTGACACCAACCCAGAATCTGAATCTTGAAGGAAAGGCCTTTCCTAAGGAGAAAATCTGGGGCTGGAGAGATAGCTCAGTAGAGGGCCTCAGTTCAGTCCCTGGTTCCCCCTAAAGGAAAAAAAAACCAAAAACCAGCAACAACAACAAAAAAAGAATAGGACAAAATCCAGTGACCTCTGGATGGAAATGCAACATGTCTGTTTTTTCTTACTGTGAATTCCAATACCAGTTTTCTTACTTATTTCCATATCACAGTTTTACAACATACAACTTTTTATTTTATTTTATTTTGCTTTTTTTTTCTCCTATAGCATGTAATTTTTTTTTTTTTTTTTTTTTTACCAGGTATTGAACTCAGGCCCTTGCGCTTGCCAGGGAAGAACTTATTCCACTGAGCCATCTCCCCTGCCCCCAGCATGTAATTTTTGACAAAAGAATATCAGGTATATAAAATCTCACTTTGCTTTGTTTCCATGCAGAAAAAATGTATTACCCAATAGTGAGATCAAAAGGGTGTGCAAGACCCACAGATTTCCTTTCAGTGATGATTTTCTAGACACCTTATTGTCCAGGTGAGTACAAGCTCCTACAGAGTTTTATTTTAAAGATTATTCTTACTTTTACATCAAACCTTATTCACTCTTGCTTGTTTGGATTATATCACTAACAACCCAGCTCTCTAATGCAAAAGGAAAAGTTAGTCAGATTTTGCAATGTATAGAGCCTATTAAGAATCACTGTTTCGTCTTTTGATATTAATTACACAGGTTTCAGGGTCAAAATGACATATACAATGTGGTATGAGGACTTAGGGTTATTAGGGCTGGGGCGATGGCTTGGTGGAATAAGTGCTTGTCTGGCAAGCAAGGGCCTGAGTTCAATCCCTGGTTCAGCAAAAAAAAAAAAAAAAAAAAAAAAAAGGACTTAGGGTTATTAACACAGGTCTCACCACTACTCCAGCATTAGATGTATACAGATTGTGGTGCTATAAAAGGAAAGTGCAATGAATTGCTTTCTAAAACTCATCATTTCTGTTGAATCTGACTTTTGACTTGGCAGTTTCACCCTCCTATTCATCCAGATTTTGGTCATCTTTTGTGTTTCCTATGGCATCATTTCACTCCCTCTTCTGACTTAATGTATCTTGATAATTCTGGTATCTTTGGCTTTGTGCTAGGCATTGTAGTTCTTGCTAGGATGCATTATTTCATTTTATCTTTAAAAACAGTTTGGTATATTCAGAACTTTTATCTTTCCTGTGTTATACATGAGGGTGTTGAGGTTAGAGAGAGAGAAGGTATTTGGTCTGAAGTCACATACTCTAGAAGAGTCATGACTTTACCCCTTTGCCTTTTAAATGCTCATCCTTTGTTTCTGATGACTTGGAATTATTGTCCACCGATAGCCACTACATAGTAGCACCTTGGTTCATGAACTTAATTTCTTTCCATGATTCTGGTAGCAAATTAAATTGAGTACTGAATCAAAATTCCCCATCAGGTCAACACTGAACCCAGCCACTGAATTTGATTAGGTTCTCATCCAATTCAATTGGCAGCTAGAATCACGGAATGAATTAAGTTTGTGCAGTGAGGTACCACTGTATGAGAATGACCTAACAGATCTCTTCTCCTCCCCGCCCCCCATCCACTCTTTCCTCTGTATTCCGTTATTATTCTTGTTCTGATTTGCATTTCTTTTTGAGTCTTCCTTGTAGGGCTTTACATTGGTATTTCTTCCACTAGTCTAAATTCTAAAATCTAACAACATCAGTAGTTAAATGTCTTTTGTGAGCAAAAGTGTCATCATGTCATTCCTATACTCGGAAGCCTTCTGTAATATTCCTTTGCTCTCTAAAAAAAGAGACACAGTCCTTACTACAGTGGTACCTCGGTTCATGAACCTAATTTGTTCCAGGATTCTGGAGCAAATGGATATGTTTATGTTTGTGCAGGAAAAATGGCTGTAGTGATGTTTGTCACCCAATGCAGTGGATGCAGTGTTTGCAAACGAAAACAAAATTCTGCCAAATGCTTCTGTTTGTGAAGCAAATTGCTTGCAAATGAAAGTGTTTGCGCACCAAGGTACCACTGTATTTCTCCTGTTATCTATGCCTTAGTGTTCATCTCATGTAAGGGCTATGAGACAAAAAGAGAAACAGAAGGAACAGATAAAAACAAACCCCATCAGGGAGAACTAAGGTCCAAGGTGTCAAGAACAGACTCCAGAAGAGGACACATCCAGCTAGATATGTACAGTACATTTATTGGATTGACCTTAGAGTGATTTTTCTAGACTGTCACCTCTGTTTGTTTTGCCTCAACTCTATTTGCTCTTATTTGCTAGTAGCAGTCTGAAGGATAGATAAGTCATTCAAGTGTAAAAGACCTGAGATGAAATAGCAGATCTCGAAGTTAGGATTGCCCTTCCTTAGCACACCCCCAGTGCCCACCCCTTCCCCCGTAGTCCAGCACAGTGGGTCATCTCACATTTCATACAAACTCTTCCTGCCTTCCCATTTTCTATTTTTTTCTCTGGCTGTTTATTCTCATTGTCTCTCTTTCTCCCTCCCCTCCCCTTCCTTCTCCTCCTAGACTCTCCTACTGGGGATGGAACCCAGGACCTTATGCATGCCAGGCAAGTGCTATACTTCTGAGTGACACCTCTGGGTCTTCTCTATTTCTTTTTTGCAGAACTGGAGACTGAACTCAGGTCCTTGCGCTTGCCAGGGAAGCACTTATTTCACTGAGCCATCTCCCCGGCCCCCTTCTCTATTTCTTTAATAGGAAATAGTTACTAATGTTCTTCAGTTGCTCAAAGGCAGCTCTTCTCTCCAGAGCCATGTTCATGGCACCTCCTACAGCCTTGCGTTTGTTTGGCTGATGATTGGAATGAGTATCTCTTCAATATTCTCACCACACATTTACATTTTGTTTTTGGTCTCAGAGCTTGCAATAAAGAGTGCTGGCTTTGCCTTTGATCCTTTTAGATGCAGTTACCTGTTCGATTTACCACCTGTAAAATCGAGTTGACACATCTACTATGTCCCTTGTATTCTTTAAATCTACTTCCTAGCTCTGTGAACTTGTGCAACAATTTTGACCTCCTTGAATCCCTAACTCCTTACCTCTAAAAAGAGGTAACATACTTACTTCCCACCTGGTGCTAAGAATTGACTGGGGCCTAGGAAAGAAGTACAAGTTGGGGGCCATAGGCTACAACATCTGAGTAGAAATGAACTAGAAATCTCTCTCTCTCTCTCTCTCTCTCTCTCTCTCTCTCTCTCTCTCTCTCTCTCTCTTCCTTTCCTACATGCTTGCATTCATCTTAAGGAGTGATTACATATACTTAACATATCTTGATTCTTTTTAGTGCCCTCCTCTCCCCTTCCTTGCCCTTCTGTCTGCCCTTAGATTCCCTTCTCATTTGTGAACTAGCTTTTTTCATGGAGGAAGCTTGTTTTAGGAGAGTTGGATCTGCATGCTTTTCGCATATTAAGCTGTCTTCTCGTCAGGAAGCTGTGGATGTTTATTAGATTATCTCTTGATTGGCTTACAGATGAGTTGTCCTGGGAAGTTCAGTAATGTGGGAGCCTGGCCTCTGGAGGACCTAGAAGTTTCTGATCTAGTGCTGAGGCCACCAAGTCATTGTCCTATCATCCTCCCATTCTCAGAAGACTGTTTTGTCTTTGTCTTTACGATTTGACATTTAATGCAAAAAGACGATTCGACAACTTGCTTCGAAGCTGTCTCCGTGTCCGAACACATCTGTCTCGGAGCCCGGCTTAGCTTGGAAAAGGTCATCCCTCTCCGCCACTCAGCAGACCATGTTGTCTAACTTTGCCTCTAATTGTGCGGTGACCCTTCTCCACACTCAGGGGAAACTTCAGACTAATCAGATTAGAAAATGTCTCATTCCCATTCCCCTCTCTCTCCAGTATGCCCTGCCATGATTTGGGTCACATGCTTGGTGTTTTGCATCATCTCCGCAGATTCCTTTCAAAGACGCCCTAATTCCTAATGGGCCCATCAGCCTGCAGCTTGCATTTATACTCCACATTCTTATTGTTCCCCACAGACTTGACGGGGCTTTATGGAGCCTTGACCAGAGTCTCTTTCTGTACAGCCTTCCTCATGGCGTGCTAAGCCAGAGCCCCCTCTGACGTCTGCGATCTCCCGTGGGAGGCAGGCATAGAGGTTGTGGATTTCGTTCAACACATACTCAGCCCAGGCGGTAGATTGACCTACCTTGAGATGAGGCTGCATAACCCTTCTGTACAAATTCGGATCACAAGATGCAAAACAGGATGACTAATGGATCGGGCTCTTTCTTTTACCCAGTGACTGTTACCCAGGCATTTCTCCTCTACCCCGTGTTTTGATACTAAGATTTCCCTTCTATTCCATTTTTATTGTTCTTGTAATTCAAGTAGGTCTTGTGCTTGTCTGAGTTTGTCACAACCCAAGCTACAATCTGGACTTAAATCTTTTCGCTTCCAGTTGCTCCAGCTTTGATCAGTTTGTGTTGTGAGAGGCAGTACGAGGTCACTTTCCTTGCCACACAAATGTAGTTCACGAATGAGCAGAGCATCAGGCGTGAAGGTCTTAATTAGGGGTGGTTATTACCCATCAAGAATAGGAGTAACACTTCATATTGATACAGTGCTAAGGACCTAAGAATATTCTGTGAATGTTTGAGCATATTAAAAGGTTTATTTTAATTGATTGAGTTCATTATTCCTCATTACATTAGGGTGGACACAGAAGTACAAGGGGAGTCTCTCGCGGAAAGAGCATTTCAAAGCCAAGGCAGATCGCGAGTGGAACTAGAATCAGGATTCCCCAGGAGAGCCTAAGCCTTTGCTTCTGGTGCAGTGCTGGGTTGGAGACTGTATCTCATTCACTTTTGTACCTTAGGAGACCTGTCTGGCACTGGCACACTCAGTGTACGGGTTTGGGCTTTGTCTGACCTGACTCTGGAGCCCTGCTCCAATTCTTTGCCAATGTGAATCTTGTACTCTTAGCCTTCATGTGGATGTGAATGTCTCTTGGTACCACTTACCAAGAATTCTGGTTCTCAATCCACAAGAGATGGAGAGAATTTTGACCTCTTTCCATCTTGTACTTCTTGGGGGACTCAGGAGTGAAGAGATAGTCTCTTCCACTGCCTGTGGCCTTCTGAATCTAGACTTGAGTAACCAGAAATTCAAGCGCAGCTCTTCCCCCATCAGCTCCGTCCTAAGCTGGTCTTTTATAGATGCCTTTGGGTTCCAGGGAATGCCTTAGACTCAGCCTCCCAAGAGAGCTTGTGCCTCCTCCAGAAAGATCAGTTAAAATGGAAAAAGTTAATGGGGCTTTAAAATCATCTCATTATGCTCTATCCAGAGCTGCCCCCGCTCCCCCTGCAGAGGTGCGGGTGGGCTCATGTCGTTTCCCCCAGCAGTACCTGGCAGTGAGGGGGGCACTCATTGAACCCTGTGGCTGCTGCTGTCGAAGATGGAGGTACTAATGATGTTTTTCAGAAAAGAATGCTGCGCTCTCTCTCTTGTCCTTGCTGTCACTCTTGCTCTCCT